TTCTCAAGCCTCCTGTGGGAATCCAACCCAATTTCCCCCAGACAACGCATGCGCAGATGCGACTAACACCATTCTTTGAGGAGAGGAGGAGATTTAAGGCTTTTGACTCCAGCTTGATCTTTCCCCCCCCTTTTGTTTCTCCCTCCTTCTTCTAAGTATCTCTTTATTCATCACTTTCATTACCTAATCGTAAATTTCTTTAGGGGGTTACTTAGAAGGAAAATTAGCATCAAAGCTTGGCAGTGAATCCAGGGGCTCTTGGAGCAGGTCCAAGTGTTTCACCTGTGATTAATTTGATGATTTTTTTTCCTTAAGTGCCAGAGGGCTGCTGAGGTCTTTAAGCAGTTACGTGAGTGCTGCCAGCTCAGGAATTATGATTGATGCATTAGTCTGGCATTTAGGACTTCTGCTTCTTTCTGCTAGTTGCCTGGATGAGCGAGATCATCAGACCTGCCACACGGGTGGAAACAAAAGGCTTGCTGCTGGCAAACACCAGGCCTTGCTCTCATAGAGGAGTGAGGAACTGGGGACATTGGCCTCCCCACTGCTGGCAGAGTATTCAATAGGACTAAGATGAGAGAAAGGGAGCAAGAAATGCCTGCTACTCAGAGTGTGTTTTACAAAGGCACAGTTTCAACTCAGAGCAGTACTTGTTGCCTTTAAATCTTTTCTGAAGGTATGGGTTTATTCAAGAATGAGAATGAGAGGAAAACAGAACCAATCCTTTAACCTCAACCTGGAAAACTTGTGTAAAAAAGAAATAGATGGACTGGACTTAAGGAAAATAGTTTTCTCTTTCACAAAAACTTAGTATTTCTTTCCCCTGGCCCCAAAGGGAAAAGCCAAGTATCTCAGTGGGGTTGCATTTGTTCCTTCAGCAGAAAGCTTTAGGAGACAACCACATTCCAAGCCTCAGTGACTGATCTGGCTCCTCCTTCTGGCTGGAAACAAAAGTCCTTTCTCATCAAGGAAGAAGCAAGCCAACTCCAAAACCCCAAGCTCTCCATTAAAGCTTTAGCAGAAGTTAGAAACAGCTGGTTCCAAGTGTTATCCCTGTGTAACTCCCACCCACACTGGACAGAGGTGTTTGGAACAGCATCTCAACGGAGAGAGAGCCCAGTGGGCTGTGTCTGTGCTTTCACTGCTCTGGCTACATCTGTTTTCTGGGAAATGAAGACCCTTCAGTCACTAATGCTTATTAGTTGGCATATGTGTACTACAGAAGAAGTGTCAGAAGCATTAATGATGCACTTCCAGATTGCTTAATACAGTTAGCTCACCTAATTCACTCTGCATGGCCTCTTGCTGCAAAGAGAGAAGCAATCAGCAGTTAAACAGCTCTAGTCCCTTTATAACCGGCCACTAGAGAGACAGTGGGGAATAAGACATTGGCTTTATGGTATATTGGTGGCAGGTCAAGAGAGAAAGCTGAAGTAGATGGATGGGAAAGTACCAGAGAGCCCTTCCTTCAGTAGGAAGAGGCTAAAGAACCCACTGCAAATTAATGACTGAGAGAGACCTCCTGTTCTGGCATTCATTTAAACCATTAGGTGTTTGCAGTTTATCTCAGCAGAGTAAAATCATCTTTCAGACACAATACATGCTTTGCAGGAAACCGTGTGTAGCTCTCAAAGGCTACTCCTGCTGTCATGCATCCTTCCTCCCAAGTGCTCTCAGGACAACAGGATGTTCCTTCACTTTAGGAGACAGCTCCTCATCCTGCTGTGAAGCAGTTAATCTCCATGGGAAGTTTCTAGGCCTCTCACCATCCCTGCTCAGAGAATAATGACACCTGGTGTTTGCAGCCACCTCTGGTTCTGTCAATGCCCAGCCTGCCTCAGCTGACGTTTACAGAGCCTGGATTCTCCTCAGATCTCATTGACTTTGTGTCAGTCACCACTGGCAGCATTCTGCTCTGCAAACCCAGCCCAGCTCACAGCAGTGACATCCGTCACCACTCATCCTGCTGGACTGACTCTGACTACAGGAAGGAGGAGGGGGAGAAAACCTGCTTGTATGTATGGCTTGTATATATTACATATTAACCTCTTTATGGGCAAGTGCTCTTTGCAGAGGCCTGTGTTTATCTCTGTGTTTGCCCTTATCAGTGTTCAGATCCAGACAGATGCCTCAGCATGTTTGAGTCTCTGCAGTCTGCATTTCCATGCATGCATCTCTGAAGAGGCTTTTGGCTCCATTTGTCAGGTACCAGCCTGAAACAACAGTGTGGCTCAGCTGACAAGATAGACAAGACACCACTGCAAGACAGCTAACCCACCAGGTAAGCTCAAGGAACTTACTTCCCCGTTTGAAAGCATGATGATACTTGTCTGCTGCTGTAAAGAGGCTGTCCACTGTACGTCAAATGGGGAAATAATTCATCAGGTACTGCTCCATGAAGACCATTTCAACCATCTCTGGAATGTTAAATCCCTAGACAGACTGGCAAGGGAATGATCGTGTTAGCAGGAGCTCAGATCTGAGAGTGAGAAAGCTGCTAGCCCAGAAATCAGGAGATCTGGGTCCTGGTTTTATCTTTTCCATCAGTACGCTTTTGAGCAGACTACAGCTCCTCTGCTTCCTTTGTGACTGCTCTGTGTGTACCACCTAAGCTCACCAGGGTCAGGACTACCTGATCCTATCTGACACAAGAAGTTCCAGAACTCAGAAACTCCAGTAACAGTGCTAACCATTAAACCAGACCAGTATTAACTGGCAGCCACACACTAAGGTGACCTTTAGCCCTTAGAATGGGTGCAGGTTAGCAGACAGCAACACAGAGATCCTGTGACAGCCTCAGGTACCACACCATGGGTTTCATTGCAGGGGCTGAATTTCAACACATGACCCAAACAATACACAGGAAGATGCTGGTGCTGAACATTCAAAGGTGGTAGCTCAGAAAGCATGCTTGCAGGCACCCCCCCCCCCCACAGATTCTCTCCTACCCCTTTGCTTTTCAGCTTATGACAACAGATTATTCCTTGCTGGAAGAATGTGGCATTGTTGACATTAAAAAAAAAGGCAAAACAGGCCTTTGCTTTGCTTGAACAGCACAGGCTTTCTTGATCAGCTGTCTGAGGTGCCTCATCTGTACAAAGCATTTAAACCTGTCTAACATCAAAAAGTAAGGTAAGACAAGTCACTTTGATGCTCCAGAGCACATGCCTAACATGATTATTGCAGAATCTTCCTGGTGATAATAGAATTATGCAAAAGAGGCCTTGACCCATTAATGCTTTTACCTTTCTTAGGATTTCTCTCCCTTCTTTTATGAGAAGCAGAACTGCTTGCTCAGATATAGCAACTGAACAAAAAGGTGGAATAAGCAAAATGAAAGAGGTCCCTTCCCCACCTTGTCATCTCTCCCCACTCCACCTTAGCCCAGTAAATCACACACTTGAGCAGTTGCAGGTTAAGCAACTGGAAATATGCTATACTGGAAAAGGTGTGTGACTGAGATGGGCACATTCCCTCATCACAGAGACAGTGTGAATGCAGGATGGCACATGTCAGCACTGGCAGTCCTGCACCTAAGACACCTTTCAGGGAAAAAGCCCTCTCTAATGGAAAGAGAAAAGATACCTGCACCAGGGGCTGCAACTGTTTTACACCAAGCAGCACAGCTCTGCACTAACACAGTAGGAAAGCCAGCGTTTGGTGTCTTCAAGCTACAACTCATGTGTCATAAAGCAGCACTTTCAATACTTGCATCCCTTTTCTAGGCAAAGCAGATGATTTCAGACAGAAGAGTTTGCTGGCAACGTAGCCTCAGTTTCTCATCCTCTCAGGGGATTTATGAGACAGGGTTTGGTGGTTCTCAATAAAACTGCCTGAACATTGCACAAGACCTGCTCAATATCAGAACACAGAGGCCCAGGCATGTGTCGTTATTGAAAAGCAACAGAACAAAAAGGAAGAAAAAGGGATGTTACCTCCCCTGTGCCCTGCTCAGACTGAATTACAGCTGAAAATAAAGCAAGCTTCAGATGATGATAATACAGAGAACTTGCAGAGTCTTAGTATGAGGTATCCTTTGTAGCCAAAGGAATGCGAAGCCTGTCCAGGCTCTTCCTTCCACCTTTTAAGTGTCCTGCCTGTTTAAAATAACACATGCTAGGGAATGGACTGAGACAGTGTTATGGAAGCCTTGCTCTGCCAGAGGGTAAACAGAATCCAGCACACAAATTCTAATCTAAGCTTGTATATACAGTGGGTGATTTTAAGCCAAAAAACTCCTAGCAAGAGATCAGCTGAGTGTCCTGGCTCAGGCACAGGTCTGCAAAGGGCTGGCAAATGGAAAGCATGCTTCCCATGTGTTTTGCTTGCTCAAAGCACGGTTCACCGATTCCTACTTGCAATCTGTCCTGAATTGAAAATGTATGATTAGTTTGTTCCAGGAAAGACGAGCCCAACACATTAAGGCTCAGACCTGAATCCAAACTTCCCCAAGCACAGATAGGTTTTCATCCCGAGTTTTGGTCCAAGCTCTTCTCTTGTTTCTTACTCATGTTGTTTGAGTGGAGTTCCTGAATGTCCCATCCTAAATCAGTACCTATTTATGTTAGACCAGACAAATCACAAGAGACAGTCCTTTCCTCTAAGCTCCCATTATCCATATTAACAAGTATGTTATTATATTATTCCTGTATGCAGGAAGCAGCATTAGGACCCAGTTAAGTAACTCACCCAAGGTTACACAGCCAGCATGTTGCAGCGCTGGCTACTAAAGCCAGTTGCTTGACTCTTAAGCTCAGTGCTTTAGTTATTCCTCAAGAGGGGAAGTGTAAGCCCAGATCTGACCATTCCCCCTGGTAGGAAAGCTTCTGGAGTGTCTGTTCGAAACAAAGACTTTCCTTCCCCCTTTTCCTGTCTAAAATAGAAAAAGGACCAAGACCTTATTCTTGAGCTTCAGGGATCTGTTAATTGGCTCCCTAGTAAAATTACAGGGCCTCAGCTGCCTGATAATGATTGTAAATGACAGAGACTATCAGGTTTACCTTGTGATGTCCCTGGGGAGCTTGCAGTTAGTTTAGTCTGAACTCTGCGTCAGCTGTTTGGGTTCCTTTCTTCTCGGCATGTGGTATCTGGACTCAAGCTGCAGTCTTTCAAACCTAATTAGTGTTAGGGGAAAGAGAGAGAGAAAAAACCTCAAACAACAACACTCTCCTTCCCTCAACTGACTTCATAATGTACAGGCAGGACCTGATTTACGGTACAAGTTCATGGGGATTGGTTTTGCTTGGTTTGTTGGTTGTTTTCATGCCCAGCAACCCAGCATCTTCAGCTCTGGCTGCAAGAAAACTCCATTTCAGTGTGCTGGAATCTTTGCACTTTGAGAAGTTCAGCAGAGAATCTCTGAACTCAATGGAGTCATCGTGTTTGCATATACTTGGGTCTGTTGCAGTGCTCAGCAGAAACTCAAGGTTTTGCCCTTTTCTTCACAGAGAAAGCATTTTACTCTCTGACATGTTTGTTGTTCAAGCTTCACTACACGGTTTTCAGTAGTAACCTCATAGCAAAGTTAAGCCAAATTCACACTGCCACCCCTAAGGAATAAGAACATCAACATTTTTGGGGGGGGGGGTCTCCATAACTTGTACCATTTTTTACTTGCAGGGCATTTCATGATCTAACTCTGGCAGGAAGGTGTCTGCACTACCTGATTTCTTGCTTGGTAGCTGACTTCCATCCCACATCACAGGTCATCAGTTGTTGCAGTGTTGAATGGAACACCAGAGCAGCAGATCCATAGACAGCATCTTCGAATCACTGGCAGGCCAAGCAATCACCAACCTGGAAAAGCAGCAGCACATGGGATTCAGGCTGCTTTGGGAGTGAGCTGAGTAGCTGGGGTAGCAAGAAAGCTGTAGGGTTTTCTGCAATGCCTGTGTGTGCAGAATTCTTTGGAGTGAGGAGAATATACAGAGGGTTTAATTTTACCTATTCTACATATATTTAAGTGAAACTAATTAGTGTCTGGAACAGCTGCTGAAAGATGTGATAAATTTCTTGACTGCTCCAAATCTTAAATCAAGACTAAATGTCTGTCCAGGAGATCTGAAGCTCAAGCAATCCCTGAAATCCTGAAATTGAAAGAATCAGTGAGTAGAACAGGTTAGATGAGAAGATTCTCTCTGCCTGCAAACCCTCTGAAATCCCTGCCCTCAGCAGCATTACTAGCTTCATGCTCCAGTAGCTCTCTAATGCAGAAGGCTCCCTGGTAAAGATAAATCACATTTTAAGTGAACATAAGGGAATCTCATCCAAGCACCAGTAAGCACCATGTTCAGACCACACAGCAGTTTGCCTCAAATGGCCTTAGCTACCTACAGCAATGTCTAAATCCAAGACAAAAATAAGTAATTCAGGTTGCCTGAAACAGATGCCTAACCTCAAAGTTACAACTACTACCTTCTGACTTCATGGTACAGTTTGAGATAAGGTGTACTTGCCTATTCTTGTACAGATTGGGTTCTTCCATCAGGTAACAGAGCCCAAAGCAGAACATCCCAGACAAGTCTAAAGCTCTGCAGCAAGAAGTCCTGCTGTAGAAGAAGCAAACCCACTCTTACCAGAAAAGGACCCAAAGTGGACAATTCAGTCCAACACTAAAACACTTATTTAGCCAAATTCAGATCTAAGGCAAAAAAGGCCTAGTCTAGAGCCTCGCTCTTTTTGCTTTCTAATCAGTGATGCCTGCAGTGCATCAAATAACTTATTTTCCACCTTTTCTCAAGCAGCTCATTTCCTACATAGATCCACTTCGTGGAATCTGTCACCTGCATTTGCCTGAGTAAAGTACCTAAACAAGCTTCAGAGAAGCTATGGTGTTACTAAATCCACGCTGCACTCAAATCCGCTTAGGAACATCTGACCATATTGTCGGGCAAAGGGGTATAATGCTGTTAGAGTAATTCCCAGTCTTTTCAAGTAAGGAGCTATAGTCCAGGCTTATCCAGGAGTGATACAGCTCGGGGGGAATCTGCACTTTACATATTTAACAGAAGCGTGCTGAGCTCTTTAACATATCATTGCTGTACTTTTTGACATCAAAAGGATTGCATTTCCATACTTGGATGAATTAATAGGATTTGCATGTCACCCTCATTCTGTACTTTCTTTGCTGAGTTACACTGCAGGAATTTGAAAGGCGGAGAAACTACAGAGGTGTGCATGTGTGCGTGTGCACTCTGAAGTAACACACTGCATCTAGAAGGGGTCTTGAAGCTGACTTTAAAGGAACAACATTACTGCAACGTGCCCATGAGATGTTACCTCCTTTGCCAGTTGATGTTTGGTTACAGCTTCAGACAAGCAGATTTCTGGGAATGCTTCTGCACACAAAGGCAAGGCTGGAAACTTTCCTCCATCACCAAGCACTTGCCTGCTCCCACTGACTCCTGCGTTGCTATGATGCTTTTCAAACTGGTCCTGTTCAGCTTAGGAACCCACAGCTGGATCAGGAAGGGAATTCAGGGCTCGTTAGAGTACCTGAGCTGTAATGATCATGCTCATCAAACTGTTTTCTGCCTGTGGAGACCCCAAGGGTCATGTTGAAGCAAATGCTGGATCTGCTTCAGGCTTCCAAGGGTAACATTCCCCTTTACAGACTGCACTCTCCCATTCAGATTCTTCTGCCAGTCTCCTTTCAAACTAAAAGCAAGCAGCACTCCTGCACTGAGTGTCTGGAGATATTTCAACAGATATTCACAGTGACAGCAACGGGAGGTGACACTGCACTGAAGGCTCCCAACCTTCTCTTTCTTCTCTAGTTCACACATCTCCTCCCTGATACTGCCATTTGAAGCAATATTGTATTTCTCCCCGTCTTCACTGTATTTACAGGATGACTGCATCCAGCCAAAGGTGCCCCTCTACTTTAAAGCAGAGTTGAGTGCTGATTGTTCCTGGACAGACTTGGAATCTTATGCCTGAGTGAAATTTTATCCTTTAAGATAGGTCATGCTATGTCTTGAGTTACTTTTACACTTGACACTAGCAGTCATTAATTACCATCTGGCTGATTGACATATCAGTGAGTAGCAGCAATATAATACTTTCCCTAACACTGGAGCCTTCTCAGAAAAGCGTTAACTGGACTTGACACACTTCCTTTGGGCTGCTTATCCCTTGGAGAGATTTGTTTTGTATTTATTCAGTGTCTGTAAAACTGCCACCCAAGCACTATCCCTTGGACATGAGCTGAGAGTGAGGCGTGTGGAACCTGACTGCAGCGCTGGGATTTGGGGTGAAGAGCAAGAAAGGGCTTTCAGAAAAAGAGGAGGCTGTTTTGGAGACGCAGCTCAGGAGCTGAACTGCTGCTCTGCTGCCACAACCCTGCCTTAACTGCACCAAAGTGGGACCCACGTGTATCACCACTGGCAGCATCACTCTGTTTTAACAGCACTTAAAAGGATGATGTGACTGGGGGGGATCCCTGTGTTCCTTCTGTTCTTGCAGGTTTGGTGCAATGGATCTCATCTTGGTGCTCCAAATGTTTTTAGAAGAACACACTGCCAGAAGTTCACCAAAATAAGCACCTTGAAAACCTGATGGGGTCCAGCGCATCAGCAGTGGCCCATGTTGTGGAATTTGGTTTATACCTTTTCAGCATCCACATTTCCAGGGCATCTCTGCCTAGGTGCCAGATGGCCAGGTAAGAGTTAAGTGTTCCAGTTCTCAATGCCTGCTATGGTAAAGTGGTGGTAGTGCAAACTCCCTGCTCCCTAGCTCACCAGTGCACCTTCAGCCAGAGAACTCCTTTCTACACAAACACGTAAGAGTCCAGAACCCCATAATCTTCTCAGCCTTTGGCATCAATGCTGGAGCTTCCACCAAGGGCCCAGCTGGTGTCAAGTGCAATTTTGGCTTCAGTGACTGCAGTTCCCTTAGAGGGACTGATTGTAACATCACATTGTCAAAAAGCAAATAAACCAGGCTGGCTTTAGATACCTTTTGTAACCTGTCAATATCTTGGAGCTGGGAACAGGAGGAACTTCTAAAATCACTCTGAAAGTGTGTATCTGTAACAGAGAGAGTTGCTGCTGATGGCATATATTGAGAGATGTCACTTGGAGCTGCCTTTTTGTGTATAGAACCCACTACTCCAAGGAATCACAGCAGCCCACTGATGAGCAAACTGCTCAAATAGGAATAGACACGTATTATTCCCAGGGTACCATGTAACTAATCACAGCACTGATCTCTGCAGCGTTTCTTGTGCCTTTCTCTGACATGCATGGCCTTGACCATCATTAAGTCTAGCTTAAGTGGGTTTACCCTGGCTATGGAAGACTTTGTTATACACTGATGCCACTGAACAGGACAGGACATGATACATCTACTTACCCCAGAAAAAAGACAATTCAAGAAGCAGTCTAAGAAGATAGCTCCTGCAGGGGGACCAGCAGAGAAAAGCTGATCTTGCTCTGGAATCTCATAATTGCCACTGGGAGCTTGGCTAATGAACCAGACATTTGGTGAAAACTCTATTGGAAAAGCAAGGAAGAAAGAGGAAACACCTTAGCAACAGAGGGAAGGCATAGAGAATCAGAAGTTCATAACTCCAGTTTGCTATTCTGGGTCCAGCACTAGCCACAGCATGCAGCATGTGTGCAGAGTGTGCCATAGCAGACAGAAGGTACAGAATCCTAAAGCTAAGCTTGAAGACATCAGCTCCTAATTAATCTACCTGCCTTGAAAAAGAAAGGAACAATCTAATTCTTCCCCTTATTCTCCTGACTTTATAGAAATACCATTACTATTTCTATTGACTGACACTGGGGTTACAGAGTCCCTGGCACAGCTGCCCTACTGCAACAGGGATCTTCACTGGTTTCTCCACCTTATTCTCACTGGCTGAGACAGTCCTGCAGAATTCCTCCCACCCTGAAAGCAATTCCTCCTTCATCTTCTTTTCTATTTTGAGGGAAGTGTCGAAGCACCCCCAGGCAGAAGGCCCCTGCTGTGCTTATGAACATGCTAGGTATGCCCTGGCACTCCAGCACTACCAGTAAGAATGCTGATGAATGACAGCAGCACAGCAGGAGACTGAGAGGAATTGAGATCAAGAACCCATATCTTCCCATTAAAAAATAGAGAGTGAGCACAACTAACTCTGTGTGAGTAATGACTGATTTCTATTATGTCCCCTTGGGTCAGGAAGCATTTGAGTGCATCATTTTTAAAGATGACTAAAACTAGCCAGAATACCAATACTATTAATGTCTCCTGTTGTCTTGCAGTGCTGGTGTCATCCTTCAGCCATGTATTCCCAATACAGATATTTCACCCAGCCTGGATTTCGGTGTTGGCCTTGCATCTAGCATTAATCAGTATGACTCCACTGATGGCTTATACAGGCTGGGTATGAAAGCATGTCTTGCAGCCATAGAAAGGGATCCACTTTAGTTCTCCACACCATTCTTTTTCTCCTTTACATATGTCCAGGACCAGCTTCTTTACAGATCACTTTGCTTTCCTCTCCCAGGTCTGTGTCTCCTTGTGGCAAGGGCTCCTAGAATCCATTGTTTCTGGGAATAACCACTTACAACACACGCCTAAGGCCACTGAGCAACTCAGAGAAGATGCTCAACACATTGAGCTGTGCTCAGCTTGCTGGATGTGGCCTGCAGAAGCCCATGCAAAGCTCTGCCATTCAGCCTGATGCAAAGCAGCCAGTTTAGCATTTCTTGGTTTTCTGTGTTCCTCACCTCTGGGCAAGGAGAAGCAGCAGCACATCAGAACACAGCTACAACACACAGCTCTGCTGCTCCTCAAGGCAAAGTTCCTACCTAGCCCCCTGTAGAGCAGCACAGGCCCTCAGGTGATTGTCAGCTCCGTCCCTGCCTAGAGGACAGACCTCTGGGACCTCAGCACAGCTCTGGGACTCAGGGGGCTGTGGTGTGCCACTCTGGTCACAGAGGAACTGTGACAGAGGCAAGTCAAGCTTAGCAGATAGCACATTGATTCCTGGGCCCATCAAGATGGACTGCAGAACTCCTGCTGACTTCAGCTGCAGGTATGAACGATCTTGGCTTCTCTGATGGCAGGTTTTGAGCAACAGAGCTAGCAGTACATACCGTGTGGCTGGTTTGGTGTGTCAGACACACCAGTGATACAGATGGCCCTTGGTCAGCACTTGGTGTGCCTGGAAGGAGCAAAGCCCTTACAACATAAGGCACACGAGTATTACCCCTCACTGCTTGTTTCTAGAGATAGGCAAAGCAGCAAGCATTTGTCTAGACCAAGGTCTACCACAGGGACTCACAGGGAGCTTACTCAATCACAAGAAAGCTCCAGCTGGTTTTGTTTAGCTGTTTTGTGCTTCCAGGTTTTAAATTCCTGGGGTTATTTTGCTTCGTAGCCCATCCCTGTAACTCTGAACATATTTCTGTGCTGCTCAAGACTACAGCAGGGGCAGGCATCCATGTGCTCAGGGACTGAGCTCAATTCATTACTTTGTCAAAGATCTGACATGACTAAAATCCAAGTCATGTCAACAGATTGCAGATGTTTTCCCCTCCACTGACACACCACATCCTGGAGGGAAATCACAGGGGTGCAATGCCTGTCTGAAGATGTCAGCTTGACTGCACAGTATCTTCTCAGAGGAGCTGGGCCTCAGTAGCCAGCTCAAAACATTCCTGAGACTTCTGGACACAGCAAAAATAAATGCCTTAACTACAGCACAAGAGATCCAAACAGCACTCTGGGAAATGCAAGAGCTCTACTCAGGAGGAGGCAGCATTACCTTATTGTTTTGTGCCTCTTCTTACAGTAGCTCCTCAGTGGCTTGGTCTATGGAGCACGCAGGCCTGAACAGCCCATTGAGGTGCTTAACTGCTCTGGGACACAGCTCATCAGGTGCAAGTTTTGACTAAGCAGAGCTTCATATAAATAAGATATTGTTAGTGCCTGCTCCAGAGCAAGGCTGCTCACCAGCCCTGTTCCATCTGTAAACCTGGGTGCAGAAGGAGGACCCCATGTTTGCTGAGTCCATACTGGACTTCCAAGCATTGCATGGAAAAGCAAGCAAGTAAAGCCTGAGTGATCCAGGAGCAGTTATGATGCCAGAACCATGCTATGTTAATCTGATGGGTACGTTCCTGTGTCAGTGCTTTAAATGTTCCCTGGGACTGGTACCAGCCACACCACTGGTGTGACACTGATTGCTGTGTGACCAGTAGCCAGTTAACTGGTACACGTGTTCCCCATTAACAGATCCAGTTTGTAACTAAAGATAGCCAAGCGCAGCATGGCACAAGTCCATGGGTTACTTCAGTTCTGAATGTAGGTGAGAAAGGCTGAGCCTTGTGGAATGAGGACAAAAAGATTTGGGCTCTGGAGTAGAACTCCTGCACCCTGTGCACCTCGGGGTGTGCCCTGACCCACCCAGGCACTGCACCCCAAGCAGGCACTGCACAACACTGACTGTTTGGAACAGCCTCTGTTCTTCCTCAGCCACCTGGACAAACAAGGAAGCCAGCAGCTACCCCCATAATCCAGGGAAAGAGGAGAGAATCATGACCAGTGGCTCAGAAAGGGGAGGGAATAGGCAGACAGAGAGAATAGGCCTTGATTCATTCACCCCATTCTATCATGGCATAAAAACTAGGCATACAGTCTCTGTTAGTGCTTTTTAAATTCATCAAGAGAGGAAAGCATGGCCAAAGGGCAAGCTTGATTTCATTTGGGCAGAAGTGCCATTGGTGGTGCCTTTCTCCATTGAAAATAAAGGCAAATCAAGTAAATAAGCTTCTGGTTTATCTACTTTAGTGAAGTATGTCAGGGTAAGTGGGATTAAGGCAGGCCATATGACTGGGACTCAGATCCCCCGAGGTCCAGTCCAGCACGAAAGACCCCTAAGGACATTATCCTTCTCCTGAACGGATGCTTCAGAGTTTTGCTACACACGGAGACCTTTGTAACACTTTGTTATATTTATTCTCCTGATAAACCATCCTGACTCCTTCAAAGCCAGTGAATTAACACCTAAGTCAAACCTTTTAATGTTCCTTGGACATGTCGTGCTTGTCGCTTGCTGCCTGTGAATTCTAAAAAGGGCCTGGGGTAAATAAATAATGCAGCATGCATATTGCTGCTGTGAAAGTTGCTCCTAAAGAATAACTTACTCAGCTCTGTAGTGATGGGGATCCTTTTATAACATGGCTGTGATTGATTCCCCAATGCTCTCGCTTGGAAAACAGCATCTGTAGGAACAGTCAGTAAGAACATGAGAGAGGGAAGCGAGCAGAAGCAGAAAGGAAAAGGAAAGATAAAAAGGAAAGAAACCCTGGTAGAATGGTTCAGACTGACACATGCAGGAAACCTCCTACCTGTGCCTAAAACCATCACTGTCGTGCAAAAATCCCCAAGCGGCTCCTACCTTTAGAAGGTTTCTTGCCTTGGTTTGCTTTTCCAAGGCTCACTGCATTCACTTAGAGCTTCAAAGGATCAAACAAAAGCTCTCCTGGGAGCTGCTTATTGACATCATAACTAAAATACCATCACCCTCCATGGAGCACCAGTGCCGCTTACAAGGGGGAGTTGGTGCAAAGCCCCCCCTCAGCCCACTTGCTCTCAGAAGGTGCTTGAGGAAGGGGGGTGTGTTTTTCCTTTCCCTTCAGGAAGGCTGTACATGAAGAGATGGGACATGGGCTGTAGCAATGAAGGCAAAAGCATACACCGTAACTTACTGTAAACCCAAAAGGACTTAATAGGGAAATCTGGAAGTTCCTAGAAGCATGTGTCTTCATTTCCTCCCAGTTCTCACCAGCTACCTGATTTAGTAGAATCAGCCCCAATTTCATGTCTGCTTTCGGTGTTTTGATCACATCTAATCTTGTCTTACCATTATGTCTAAGTCTTTCCTGTGCTACCTAGCACAGCATCTGGGGAACTGAGTGTTAACGATCCTACTGACTGCAGCAGATAGCATCAAAGTGATGCAATCTCAACTCCACTGAAGATTTTGCTAGAAGTGGAACTTCTTCCAGTTCAGATCCTGTGTAATGGATCCTCTATGCTCAGGAGCACATGAGCACTGGAGATCAGTCACGCCAACAGGATCCTAGATGGACTGTTGCTCTAATCAGCCGTGTCTGAGATTAGGCAATGGACTGCCAAAAACCTCATTAGAGACATCAGGCATCACAATCCCTCAAACCAGGAGAAAAAGCCCTTCCCAAGTACAGAAAAGCACCTCTGGGGCAGCACTGAATGTCTGCAATGAATTGTTGCCTTCACTGCACCCTTCCCCGTTGGGTAGGGGTTGCTTTGGATGGCTGATCACTGCCTGGATGCCTTCTCCTGTGTCAATATTTTTGCTCTGCAGCAGTACACAGTGCTCTACCTGAATTTTCACAAACTGGCAGGGTGCTATTACAAAAGATTACTTAATTGTAGATTACTACTGTACATTTGAATCTCAGTATCTTATTAAGCTGTCAGATTTAATTACCATTATATGTTTAGATTATGGCACAGATTATTTAGTTGGGTACCTAGGTTTGCCAACCTGTTTGCTTTGTGACATGACAGGGTGATAATTACAGCATTACTGGAAAACCGAAATTCTTCCATGGGAAAGACTACAAGTCCTTGGCGTCAGCACTGACCTGAATCAACTCTCCTTCTTGCAAGGGTAAGGAATGCTTCCCTCTGCATGCCTCTGGTTCTGTAAAACCTAATCCCCTACCCCATGAGGGAGGCAGCGTGCAGAACCAGCCTGGGTCTGTTGCACATGAAATGCTCACAGGCAAAGCTAAAGCCACAGGAAATGCGTTTGATCTGGGCTTTGTTACAGCCTCCAAGCTGAGACTATGCCTGTCATGATGCTTACTTGGGACTGTTAAGGGAACTCAGGGCCTTCCACCCAAGTAACTATATCCACTGTGGTTAGGATGCAAAATGCTATAGCTTCATCCACAGCAGCAGGGGTGGGGATGAGAAAGGATTTTGATGGATAGGACAGGTCCAGCCAAGTCGTTGCTGTCCCATCAGCAAAGGTAACTACATAATGAAAAACATCAGCCTGTCTTTTCTTTGTAATAAAGTTAATAAAGATAGTAGATTCATAATCACCTTGCCTTAGAAAGCTCTCACAACTATTCTTCTACCTTTCCCTACCTGTTCCCTCTCCTTAACATTAACCGAGGCTAGGTTTCTTGGGTCCCAGTCGTGAATGTTACTTTACCCTCCTCCTTCAAAACCTCAGAGGCAGATGGGGAAGGTTTTGCTGTACAGATGCTCACATCTCTATTTTCCATAGAAAGACTGTAGTTCCATGTACTACAACTGTGAGTGATCAAACAAAAAATGGTGGAGGGGAGCCGGACAGTGATTGATGGGATGAAACATCCTTTTTGCTCTGAGTCTCTTTTTCATATATAGATAGAAAGGAGCATCTGTATGTGTCACTAAAATGGAGATACATTATTTATATATGTGTACATAATATTTACTTCTTTCCTATATACAACCAATAGAGTTCCATACATCTTTATATTTATGTAGCAATAAACATATTAGATAAAAGTAATCTGTTCAAGTCACAATTGCCTCTTACTCAAATATACCTTATAATTTCTCTTCTGTTCTGATTGTGTACACTGTATATTGATATAATTTTGTCTAGTTATTAAAATCCATGTCTCTACCTCACTCTAATCTTTTCTTTGGCACAGCCATTGTTTTAAAAGCCTAGAATGATAATAAAGCATAGGGAGAACACTTAGGAGAGCCATCCATTCCTCAGCCCGTCTTCAGTTAATTAATACTCCACATTCTCAAGAGGACAAATCTTGGCTCCTTCGCTGAATTAAGGGAGGAAGAGATGCAATAAATATTCTACTGGGCTGAAGTCGGTTTTGCTTCCACTGCAGTTCTGAGCTACCAGCTCTGTTTGCCTGGGAACAGCGCACCCACCCTATTCAGCATCAAGAGAAAGGCATTGGTTTCTCTTTCTGAAGGACTGAAGGAGCCTCCACTCCCATGTGACAGCAGCCACCAACACTGGTTACCGTTCACCCTCCAGTCATGGGCTCTTAATGGAACCCTTGAACCTTCACTCAGAATCTGCAGGAGGAAGTGGCATGTTTCCAGGTGCAATGCTGGCTTATTTCTCCTTCCTTTGCATACCTGTAGCTACAGGAACTGGATAGGGCTGTACAGCCAGCAATGCTAAGTTGAACTTCTGGCCCTTTTAACTTAGAAAACGATTGCCAAAGATGCAGAACAAAAATGTGATACTGCAACTCCAAACTCAAACCAGGATTCGGTTACATAAGCTATTAGATTTAATTTTCTCTTCAGCTACAAAGACTTAAACCCATTTCTTAGCTGTGTAACAGTAGAATTATGCTATATATATATATATATATATATACAAAGAAGTATCTCCCTTTAAGTATTTGGATTCCAAGTGTAACCTACATCAGTGAAAGATTCATATATGCTGGCATAAATCATCAAAACTATGGTAAAGGCAACAATACTGGGTTTATGTCAGGAGCTTAACAATGACTTTGGCTGGTGGAGTTTTTCCTGGCTACTTGATCATGTTTCTCAACTTAGCTCCTTAGTCTGGGAAAATGCAGCAGGGAGTGGATACTGCTCAGTGTGGAGCCCTATGGGTTGTAGGTAGTGTGGCCAGGCTTGCACAGCACTGCATTAACACCCACAGTCACCACCAGCATCCATGGGATCAGGATAGCCCTGCCATGTTCATTCCTTGGCAGGCTTTTTCCCAAAGAGAAACAAGGGACTTTGTCAGGGAGAAGCTTCCTGATGAGAGATTAGATTCATAACCAAATTAAATGATTGTCTCTATCTAATTAGATTAGTTTCAATTGAATAATGAAACCTTTAGCTGTATTTAATGTAACATGCCTCAAGTCCAACGATTAGTCTGCAGAATGAAGCTAAACAATTAAAACCACAATCTATTTTATAGCTTATTTTATAGGAACAATTGGAAAAACTATTACTGCTGAAATCTGCAGCGGAAACATGCAATTACAAGACCAACAAGAGCAGTCAGTGCAGTGAGCATGCAGCAGGGACAGGTGAGAGGTTCTGAGGGCACTATGGAAGGACTCAGGCCAAGAAGCTGCCCATATCTGGCATTTATTACTTTATTTTCCTGAGGTCAAGGAATAAAAAAATCACATTAATTCTCAAACATCTGGATTTGACTCTGAAGATCTCAGAAAATCTATTCTTTAATAACATCTACCGTATGTAAAAGTCAGAGGACCATATTTTGATACATGCTTAGATGCCCTGTGCTTTGCATGGACGCCAAGGAGGACATTCTGTTAAATATATATATCCATCTATCTGCCCATGGTTTCCAAACAGAATGAAATGCTGGAGTGCTATGACAAATCCAATGGGATTTACACCTTTAAGCACCTAACCAACTTTAGAAACATAACCTTTACAAACATAAAGCACAGCCTGGGACTTTATCAAGCACCCAACTCACTCCCAATAAATGCATCTTAGACTCCAGGCCTTTGAGGGCCTGTCTGTCCCAGAGACGTGATTCCAATGGAAGCTACTGCTTGAACATGAAGTGCAAGCACTATTATGCACTGATTTCTTTTGTGGACATTCTTAATCCTCATAAAGAGCTCCTTGAACAGGCTGGCTTAGCTACACAAAACCTCTCCGTGCAGAAGTGGCACATGGGGAGTTAGGACACACGAGCAGTTGTAAGCTCTTTTCCTCATGTAAACCCGCCTGTAAGGTCTTTTCAAAACATTACCCTTTAATTCACAGAGCTGCGCTTCCAGTCCTATTGGGATATTTGCCCATTTGTAATGACTAATCCTATTTTGGAGGTTGCTGGGCAATAGGGTCCTTTTATTTGCTTGGAAGGAAGCTGCAGCATTTCAAGCAGCATGAATTCCAGCCTGCTACAAGTCTCCCAGCTGGCAGAACAGCTTGAACATTCTGTATTTTTGATGAAATCTTTGATCACCTCATTGCAAGATTTGGTTGCCTACTCTCAGCTCTCTGGCAGCTCTGAGCACAACCTGCCATTGCTAGATGGGATTTGTTCTTTTACGGATTAGACACGTTAAATAAATAAAGCAAACTGTCTGAAAGATCTCCAGATCAATAATGTCAGAGACACAGGGGTCTGGAAGCACAACAGACACCATCCTAAAATGAAATAGATGTCAATCAGACCTTCCTTTGTCCATCTGCTGAGACCCTCTCCTGATCCAGGGTGCCTGCCCTGCTTTAGATGAACATGGAAGGCATTTCTGATCCCTTGTTACCTTGGAGATCTTTCTCTGTTCCCAGGTTACCACCTAAATTATGAGGGAATGTGGCTGTGGAATGAGCCTTCAGCTCGTGCCACTGCAAGAGTCTCTATGCAACCCTGGCCAAGGTACTTTATCTGCAGCTCACTCCTGGAAAAGGGTAATGGTGAATGCTCAGCCTCTCCCCTCCAGGGCAGGGTCCATCTCTTGCATATGAAATCCAAGTTAGGCATTGGTTGAGATAACAATGCTAAATAACCAGCAGCATACTAGAGAATGCTGTGCCCTCCACCCAGACCAAGGTATTGAATCTTTAGCTTATTCCTAGGAGAACAAGGAGGAAGACACATGAGCATCCCAAAGCAAATACTTACACCTACCAGCACAGCCTCTTGCAGTGGAGCTGCACCACACCAGTGGGACATTGCTGTTGCATGTAGAAGACTCTGCTGTTCTCCTCTCCTTGGCCACCAAACCCCCTAAACCGGAGAGGAACCCCTCAGCTACAGAACCACCTCTCAGCAGTGGCAGCTACAGTTTATTTGACACCACATCCCCAGCTGCCCTATTCATCATCATCACAGCTTCCATGTCTCATAGTAGCAAGGAAAAATTAGGATGTGTATGAGTCACACATTAACCATGACAGTACGGGGGACAAGGGTTGCGTGGTGAGGAATTCCTTCATCAATGTCAGCTGAGTGACACAACCAGAAGGAAAACTATACCACAAAGAGCTTCCATGAATTACTGTATTCAGCAAAATGGAAGGTAATTTGACATCTCTGACAAGGGGCAGGGAGAACTTCAATCTGGCTCTGCTGAATTTAGCAAGCTAGTACAAAACTGGTGGGAAAGGGGAGCATGTACCCCTTTAAACCTCTACGGTGTGCCTGTGCAGCTCTGTCCTAACTGCATCTGTTGGCCACGTGTCTCCTCCTCAGATAAGGAATCCTGGGGCCAGCAATTAAAAGGTATTTTGGCAGGTTATAGAATCATAGAACAGTCAGGGTTGGAGAGGATGTTAAGATCATCTAGTTCCACCCCCCCTGTTAGAGACTATCTTCTCACAAGCTCCCTTTTTTGACTCACATTTACCAATCAATCAATGTATGTCTCCCTATCATAATAAAGCCATCATCTATATACACAACCTGTCAGAAATGACAACTCCTCATTCTAATATTATGGGAAATATATATGCCTTGGAGGAAACACCTGTTGGATCCCTAAAGTGGGAGATAGAGAGAAAAGACAGCAGGAAACTCACTTCATCATAACGGCATCCACCTTGCCAAAGCCAAGCATATTCTGACTTAACAAGAACCACTCTTTAGTTCAGGGTTCCTTCTGCCATAGACTCTGCAAATGATTCTTATGGAATTCTTATTTTCATGAGAGACTCATAAATCATCCTGCACTGGACTTGGAGGAGTTTGAGGATGGGGCACTGACACAATCTAGCACCCAGGGCGACAGAAATACTCTGAGCCACATAGCCATTAGCAGGTTATGTGGTTCACAACTGACTGTGCTGTGGGTGCACAGTTACCTATGCTAGCTCTGCATTCATCAGGAAAGGAAACAGCTGCATTCACATGATGCTCTGCATTGTCATGTCTGTGTTACCTTTCCTGCATCACGTTCTCATTTGAGGTCCTTAACACTCACATTGCACTGAACAGGATGTCAAAATAGCACAAGACTGTAGGAGTGGAGCTGACTTACAGAGCACCGGGTACTCTGGACTGTGGGCATTTCTGTGACTGTGGTCCCAATGGCTGAACATTTCAAAACCCACACCATCAGGCACATAAGCCACTGGTGTAAGCAGTGTCCAACCCACAGGCAAACTGAGCCTACTTACATGAGCCCACCATAAAACTTAAGAGAAAAATATGGGTTTATACTACAATTAACTCCAGTTCAATACCTTCTGTATCATCCAAACTGGCTCCAATGTAGCAGGCTCAAACTGAGAGTGCTGCAACATGATAAAACATTTCTTTTTTGCCTGTTTGCACAGCCGTGATCTGATATAAACCAGTCATTCATGTTACTATGAATCGAAGTAGGGAACGTAGCTCTCAGCTACACTGAAAGATGGTCAGACACATCCAAGATGTTTCAAACTTCATTTGAGGACTAACATAAGTGATTAACAGTTGTCTATAGCATTAGAAGGCAGGAGTGGAAGTCTTTCTATCAAATTGTTAGCTGCCAACAACTTCCTGCTGACAAGCTATCTTTAAAGTCTTCATAATGCCTTTGCAAAGCCCTAAAGCTTTGTTGAATCCCTCGCCTGCAGTCTTCCGACATCAGCTCTTCCACTCCTTGTCATGGGAAAATGTGGCTACAATGAGTCGTAATACCACGTGCACACATCAAGGTCTGTGCTCATTTGGTTTGCCTTCTGCACCCTAACTACAGAACAGCAGCAAATCCACAGGAATCAGAGCTTATTTCTGTGTCCCAAATTTTGCCCAGAGAGAGAGAAAGGGGTAGAACTGTACTCACAAAGCAGCTCAGGACAAGCAAGGCCTGGAACAGTTGTGCCACTGGTCCCCAGGAACCCCCTCATGAGAAATCCATGCACAAAAGTCTCCAGGGAGCAAACACCGGTGGGACCTGCCCCAGGTTGCTCCAGCAGCTGGAGCTGCAATGCCCCAGCCCATCAGCACAAACACCCTTGCCAGCCTTCCCCTGCCTCTGTACCACAGCCTTGGGGATGATTTAACTCTTGGCATGTGGGCTATTCGGATCACATCCCATCTGGGAATCCTCTCATTGTTTTCTGACTGGCTCCCAGATCCATACGTATGTTAACCTTTTCCTTTAGGGAGGAGTGGAGTTTCACACACACAATGAACATTGCCTCTGAAGGCTGCTACAAAGCCCCTTTGCTCACTCCCAGGCCCACATTGGAAGAATATGGTGCTTGTATGGGCTTGGCTTATTCATCACCATGGATTATATCACTCCAATTGCAATGCATCAAAGCGCTTTCCCTACCTCACAAGGAACTCTGAGGCTTAATTAATTGACACAGAGAGGTATTATGTGTCATTGCAAAATACTGTAATGTAGAATATTCCATCCAATAATTAACAACTACGCCAGGCTATAAGTAGAACCATTCTTAAAAATGAGTAGTTAAATTTTTCTTAATTACATCCACTGAACCAAATCTGCCCCTAAGCAATGCACATGTAATCCCAGTGAAGTCAGCCTGCTCGTACAGAATACACTCAAATAAAAATAGACTGTGCTTATCATCTATATTGCCGCAATACTTACACTCCCCCACTAAGTTTAGAGACTCCTGCTTTATTTAGAGTTGTAAACATGAACAATAAAGGTAAACTAAGTTGAACTGAGAAAACAGCATGGAAGGAGAGATGTAGCATTGGGACTTACACAACACACAAATAGAAAGGCTGAATCCTCGTCTAATAGGCACTGTCTGACACCACACTTCAAAACAGAGCCAAGACTCCCTAATGACAGCATTCCAGGTGATGATGCCTTGAGAAGAACTCCTGATACCTGCGAGGCAAAGTCTGAAGAGCTGGCAGCACTGGAGAAGTTCAGACTGCATAGGGTAAATAGACTGAAGTGTCTGAACGCTGACGCAGATGCATTAGGATCTACTTCACTGAAGAAACCTCCGAGTGACACATAAGAAAAGTCATCACCTGCTTTTGGTGCCTGCTCTCCCTTTCTGCATTCAGCCTCCATCCAAATCACCTCCCTCAGCTAACGCTTCACTGTGTAAGGACACGTCGTTCAGCCACAGACAGAAACCAGGTGTAATAACTCCACCACTTTTGCAGATTAACATAGGCCAGTGATCGTGGGGAAGCTGGATCCTACTTGTGCAGGCAGATGTCATGTGTCAGAGCTATGAGCCATTGTTTCTGACAGAAAACAACAGCTCGTTATTCAGAACATCCCTTGTGAAATCTTCGCTGAAGCCTCCCTCTCCCCTTGCAAGGTCACAGGAGGGCCGGAAGAGACGCAGCTTCTTCTCCCTGGCACAGACAAGTGCATGTACATGTTTTCATGCTCCCACTACTCCTTTGGCTGGGCACAGGTTGTATTTTAAAACCCAAGGCCTGATCCTGCTCCCCACAGACAGAGTAGAGGCTTGCTTTGATTCCAGAAAGGCTGTTGAGAGAGGAAGACAGCAGACAGCTTGAGTAAGGGTGGCAAAATTCAGTTCCTAATTATTAGATTAAACCCTTGAAACAGTTGTCATGTGTGAAGGGACAAAGTAGAATTTGGCAAACGGGAAAGGAAAAAAACAAATCTTCTCATAATGATAAATAATCTCTGAAGACAACCTTGTCAGTTTGTGAGCATCTCAACAGTCCCCTGCTTTTGTGGTTTTTTTTGGTCAGTGCTTATCAAAATTTGCATGGCTAGTTAGTGGGTTAATTTAATTACGAGCAGCATTCCTGAACAGCCTGATGGGGGATCTGCAGAGGGCAACAGAATGTGTTCTTGACTGATGAAACTGCACACACTCGCACATCTGGAAGCCGTCATGGGACGGATCGCTGTCTAGTAAATGCGTGTTGAGTGTTACGATATTTTACTAAGCACTCCCAATCTGTCAAGGTTTCCAGGAGAGTAGAGACTGGGAACATTTGGGATCATTTGCAGCTTAGAGCCATTAGCTACTTCCACCCACTTATTGTGACGTTATTAATAGCACAATAATCTAAAGAGCAGAACTTGGCTTACTCAAGATCTTAGATAACACAAGTGATTTTCACTAAGGGTCAAACCCAGGGAGCCAGGACCCCACTGAACAATAGACTACACTGGGTAGCACAGCCTTGGCTGAACTGGTGGTATCTTTATGCAGACTCTGCTCCTCAAGGGCCTTACCTGCAGATTCAGCCCAGCCCTGTTGTTTCAGGTCTCTGTAAGAGGCAGCACATGGTGACACTAAACCAAAGAAGACAGTGCTGCGTAAGCAATGTGATGCTGACCATCCCTTACTAATTGCCCTCCTCAACAACAGTTAATGGTAAGGAAAGCATTAAGCACCACACACAAGGTAGATAAATTTACACTTCATTAAACCACGGACAGTGCAACAAAAGCTGTCTGCCAGATAGAAGTGAGCTGTAGCTCTATGCTATCCCTACTAAAACACAAGTTGCTGGCTAAAACCCAATGCTGTTATTCTTGCATGACACGCAGGGATGCTTGTAAGTGACATCCTAAATTCTCCTGGACTCCAAGAGAGCAGAATGGCCAATTAGTGACCAAGACTCAAGTCATGGAGAAGACCAGCTCTAGCCTGGCACACAGGAATGGATTTCATCCCATGAAAAGCAATTCCCTGCTAAGGAAATCAGAACTCAGGGCTTGGCCTGTGAAAGAGATTTTGCACAAAGTTTCTTCACAGCTCAAGGAAAAGATCTGGAAGTCTTCAAAACTTACCACTGGCTTTATGTTAAGCCACTGCATATCT